GATCGATTGCCGGCATGGAGGGTATCTGGTTTAGAGTGGTTCTGGTAAACAAACACCAACGTTTTTTCTCGGCCACACTACTGGAATGGGTGTATGGAAATCTTGTGGAGGGGACCGAGGATATTGAGGGTTGGTCTACTGTGTTTTGCATGGCTTTGTGGTGGGGGTGGAAATGGCGATGCGGGAATGTCTTTAGCACAAATGCGAAATGCCGAGACCGAGTGAAATTTATTAAGGAGTTAGCAAAGGAGGTGTTGGATGCTCACTCAAAACAACGAGCGGGCCAAGGCGGTGGAACAAGAGTGGACCGTAGGATAGCTTGGAGAGTTCCGGATGAGGGTTGGTTAAAGTTGAATACTGATGGAGCATCGCGAGGGAACCCGGGGAGAGCTAGCACGGGGGGCGTATTGCGAGATGTAGAGGGGAATTGGCAAGTGGGGTTTGCTTTTAATATTGGGGTCTGTTCAGCGCCGATGGCAGAGCTGTGGGGAGTATACTACGGTCTATATATCGCCTGGCACAGACGAGCTACTCGAGTGGAGCTGGAGGTGGACTCAGAGATTGTGGTGGGCTTTCTAAAGACAGGGATTAGCAACGAACATCCCTTGTCTTTCCTGGTACGTCTGTGCCATGGCTTCTTCTCTAGGGACTGGATAGTCCGTATCACTCATGTGTATAGGGAGGCTAATCGTCTGGCTGACGGATTAGCAAACTATGCATTTACTCTTGCGTTTGGGTTTAGTTTGTTAGAGTCACCGCCGAGTTGTGTTGCTTCGATTCTGGCGGATGATGCTCGAGGTGTTGATTTTGTTCGAAGTGTTTATATTTGAAGTTTTTAAGTTTTAATAAAATTGAGGAGACTTTGTCTCCTCTCCCCCACCAAAAAAAAAATAAATGTGTGCTAAAACAGTAAATATAAAAACACAAAACAAAACAACTTCTCGCTTCCATATCACAACACAAGAGAAATCCTCTCAAGAGGAGAGGACGAATGCCTATAAAAAATACAAAAATTAAACTAAGAAAATAATAACCGAAAACCAAAGCACTTTAATTTGATACAAAAACCAAAAACAATACCAAAAAAAAACAAACAAAAGCCAAAAAAAAGGACAATAATACCAAAAAGCAAGGCCATGAAAATCACTGTTAACAATGCAGAAAACCAAATCAGTTAAATTCAGCCTCAAATATCAACGTACGCAATTCCTATAACAGATTAAAACGAAAACGATGGAGTTAGATCACTAATTATCACGCAATACACAATACACAAAAGTACAAATTAAAAATAAAGACTAACGCAAAGATAACAAAATATATTAAATATTAAATAAATATGATGCTAAGAAATTAATATGAATCTAAACTATATCGTAAAGGAATGATCCAACAGTTAGGGTTAACTTAATTTTTTTTTCCCTGCGATTGTATCTTCCAATTTTTCGATTTTTTATATAATTTTTATAAAAATTAATTTAAACAAATTTAAAGAGGGTAAAAAGTAATTAGTCAAAGATTGAATGAGAGATCTTAAAATTAAAATTTTACTTCGCTTATAAATCAAAAGTAAAAATCGAAAGCAAATTCTAATCTTCAATCCGGTCTACGGGAGAGAAGTGGTGCGACAGCAAACAACGAGCAGCTAAGCTCTCTCCGTCGCTTTTAGCAGGACGCTGGCTCCCACAGACCCCCTACGACGTATTGTGCTTTCCCTCTGATCTACCTCCTCGCTTCCGCAGTGAATCCACGTCTCCTTTCCTCCGATCTCCTTCAGCCGTCCTCCAACGTCACAGATCTGCAGAGTAATCGAAAGTCAAAGCTTTCTTCCGATGACCATAGCCGTCCCCTAGCAGAATGAAGCAACGAAATAGTTGCGATACGGATCCACCTCTGCCACACTCAACACCGAACCACCTCGAGAAGGAAAATGCTCCACGCCTCGCACTGACGGAGAAGAAGAGATATAGTCTCTTGGTTCGCCTTGATTTACCGGCCAAAAACAGAGCACAGACCCAAACGCTCTACGCCAACAACAGTCGCCGAGCTTAAAACAGATTTAGGACACATATCAGTTCTTTATTTGCTAAATGATGACAGTATTCACTCCTGGAGAGTATACGAACGGTTTCAGTGGATCGCAAGACAAAGCCATCCATAAAAGCGAGTTTGTACTTCGCATGTAAAGCTATCATCATCGCTATTCTCCCATCATCGTAATAAGTTTCAAGAGTTTCAAAGATAATAGAGAGTCCGTTCGTCAAGTAGTAAGGTGAATGAATGATATATGGATTCTCTCGATGAATGACATTGAAGTTGCTGATTGCCAGAGTTTCGGGACAAATTTTTTTACGATTTGTGTGTCTGAGGAACTGAGGAAGTGGCCTTTGTATACAGAGGATAAAACCGGTTAACATTTCTATACTGGACTAAATCACATCATATATTGATCCAATATTACTACCAATCTATTTAATAAATAATGTCAGTATAAATTATCAGAAAGAGTAAATAATGTCAGTATAAATTATCAGAAAGAGAGAAAGAGTGTATCACGTGATTAGAAAAACTTAAGGTCACCAACCTATAGACTCTCTCTCTCTTTATATCTCCCACTCAGTCAACGCAGCCTTTATATTTTACTCTTGTGAATTGCATAATTGACCTTATTAGGTTTTGTTTGACACACGCCTCCATCTTCGCAACGAGAAGAAGAAGAAGAAACCATGGCTTCCTCTGTAATCTCTTCCTCTCCGTTCGTCTGCAAATCCTCCAAGGTTAATACCTTCATCATCATTATCTTTCATTTATCGATTTCACATTTTTGTTCGAATTTCTTAGATCTTTTTGTATAAATCTGCGGCAGAAGGATTTGGGACTTTCTTCGTTCCCTAAATCATCGCAGATTTCGGTTAATAGATGTCAGAAGAAATCGATTTCTCGGAAGATTGTCTCCGTGATGGCTCCACAGCGGTCATCGAGCACCACAGGATCGGTCTGAGCTTATTTCCCTTATCTCTCGTGATTGCTCCTCTTCCTACTGTTTTCTTTTTACGTGAATTTTTCTTTTTTTTTTCTTTTCCATTTCTAGGTGAAAACTGGGATGACGATGACGGAGAAGATTCTCGCAAAGGCATCAGAGAAGTCACAAGTGGTCCCTGGTGATAATATTTGGGTTAACGTTGATGTTCTTATGACTCATGATGTCTGTGGACCTGGTGCTTTTGGTATCTTCAAGAGAGAGTTCGGTGAAAAGGCTAAGGTAATTGCATGCAACAAATCTGTCTCTTGTTGGTCTTCTGTTTCCTGCTCAAGTTGCTTTGCTTGATGTTTGTTTCATGTGCTAGTATCTGTTGGGTTCTAGAAATGATGTTGAGAATAGCTTTGGTAGTTTTTTGAACCTTACTTTGTTGCTGTGTCGTTGTTCAATTACTGAAAAGAGCTTTGATAGCTTTTGGAATCTTGCTTTGTTGTATGCCCAACACTTGATCATTTTTGCACCCTGCTTATTGTGATTGTTACTTCCACGTTGAAGGTTTGGGACCCGGAGAAGATCGTTGTTATACCAGACCATTACATATTCACGACTGATAAGCGTGCAAACCGCAATGTTGACATCATGCGGGAACATTGCAGGGAACAGAACATCAAGTATTTCTATGATATCACCGACCTTGGAGATTTTAGGGTATGTTGGTTTTGAACTTTCCATGGAGTGAATCTGTGACTCGCCTAAGTTGCCTATTTATAATAAAATTCTATCTTTCTTGCATGTGGATGAAGTTTCATGTCTTTTTTTACTCATCCTTAGGCTAATCCGGACTACAAAGGTGTTTGCCATGTCGCGCTTGCACAAGAAGGTCATTGCAGACCAGGAGAGGTAACAATCTCTTTCACTTGATATGATTGGCTCTGTTTGGTTTGGTTCTAATTGATATATATTTCCTTATATAGGTTTTGTTAGGAACAGACTCTCACACTTGTACTGCTGGAGCATTTGGTCAATTTGCTACAGGGATTGGAAACACTGATGCAGGCTTTGTGTTAGGCACTGGAAAAATCCTCCTTAAGGTTTGTATAGTAGCTGATTCTTTTGCTTCTCTGTGCTATTACTTTGGTCAGTGTGTCAAATGGAAACCTTTGATGCCTGTTTCAACTAGGCAAAGGCTTGTTAGAATAGTTTCAGCCCTGTCTAACACTCTAACTTCCATAACCCAACTGTAGTTTCTGAAGCTCGTATCCTGATTCTGCAGGTTCCACCAACAATGAGGTTTATCTTGGATGGTGAGATGCCCAGTTATTTGCAAGCAAAGGATCTGATTTTGCAAGTGAGTGTGATATGTCTTACAGCATTTTTTTATCTTTTCCCAGACTGAAATCATTTACAGATCAATTTTGACAGTAGTACGAGGGTAGATATGTAACTTTTAATGTGTTCCAGTCATGTCTCACCAAATTGCATATTACTGTGAATTTATTAAGTTTTTCTTTTTAATGTTTCCTCTTTCGGTATTCTTTCGAGCTCTTTCTTCTAGATCTTGAATTTGCTTCCAACTTTGTAGATCATTGGTGAAATATCTGTTGCTGGTGCAACTTACAAGACAATGGAGTTCAGTGGCACAACTATTGAAAGTCTTACTGTAAGAAATTATTGTGTTTCCGACTCATAAGTCAATTCTCCTATAAAAACAAATACAATAAATTTTGGCGTATGATGACTTCACTGATTTATTACTCCTTGCTTCAATCTGTCTTGGCTGCTAGATGGAAGAACGAATGACATTGTGTAACATGGTTGTGGAAGCTGGGGGAAAGAATGGTGTCATCCCTCCTGATGCGACGACATTTAATTACGTTGAGGTATGTATTCTGTCTTGTTTTCTTGTAAATCATTCTTATTCATGGAAAATTTATGTTGAGGTATGCATACCCTTTTTCTGATATCTTTTGCAGAATAGGACATCTGTTCCCTTTGAGCCAGTATATAGTGATGGAAATGCAAGGTATAATCACATGGTACTCTCAATTTATAAATAGTGTGCAGAGTAAATATGGATTTCTGGTATCTCTAGTTGAATAATTAGTGCATCTGGAAATTTTTCAATACTTTAGATATGTAACACAACATATTACAAACCTACTGTTCATATGAGTAACGTAACTTGATAGAATGGTCTCTCTTCAAGTTAAACTTTCTTTGTGTAATAATAAATGTTTCTTTCTTTTCTTCCGTAGCTTTGTCGCAGATTATAGATTTGACGTGTCTAAGCTGGAGCCTGTGGTGGCTAAGGTGGGGTTATCATGGTTAACAACTTAAACGTTGACTTATTTTGCCACTTCCGAGTACGTATAACTGATCTACTATCGCAATGTTTTTTTTTCAGCCTCATTCTCCTGACAACCGGGCTCTAGCAAGAGAATGCAAAGATGTGAAAATTGACAGAGTATACATCGGATCTTGTACTGGTGGGAAGACGGAGGATTTTGTGGCTGCAGCTAAACTTTTCCATGCATCAGTAAGTTCCAATTGTTTCTGTGTCGTAGATGACATACTTACCACCGTTTTACTCGATTTTGGACAACAGGCTACAATATGCAGAATTACAAAAGACCTTATATCTTGTTTTCGTAATCTGAACCAAAGACTTCATCAAATTGAAATGTTTAAATCATCCTGCTGATAGTTTTCTTAATTCTTTGCCATGGGAAGCAATAGTTGTGTTTGTTTGTCTGGATGACTCAGTTTTGCTGGCATGTTGTTTGGTAATAGGAATAAGTTGTTGATACATTGACTTCGTAGCAGTTTTGGTTGCTGTTTAGACTCATGGAAAAATCTGCTTGTGTATTTTGCAGGGAAAGAAGGTCAAAGTCCCAACTTTCCTTGTCCCGGCTACTCAGAAGGTTAGCCTTACGTTTCCACATTGTTAACTTTCTTCAAGTGATTTTACTTGGTAATATAAAAAAATACAAATATCAAACGAACTGTATCTATTCAGGTGTGGATGGATGTGTATGCCCTCCCGGTACCTGGATCAGGAGGTAAGACATGTGCACAGATATTCGAAGAAGCTGGCTGCGACACGCCAACAAGTCCTAGCTGTGGTGCCTGCCTTGGTGGCCCAGCAGACACCTATGCTCGTTTGAACGAGCCTCAAGTAAGCACCTGTTTCTTACCCTTCTTAATCCAATCATTTGTGCCTACTGAAAAAAGAAAAAACTAGTAAACTGTGAACTCTATAAAATGCTGAATCACTACGAAAAATAATCACTAAATCGCTTCCCTTTGATATCTACATGTCTGATCCACTTAGAATGTTGAAGTATCTGATTGTTGTCTTGTCATTGGGCGGGCAATTTTCTAAAATGGTTCATTTTTTGAGTTTTTGTTCCAAACATAGCACCATCAATTTAAATTTCTATTAATACCACAAATTCAATATTAAATTGACTCAAAACCCTTTCCTAATATGGGAAATCTAAACCTTAATCTAGAAAAGAGAACCCAAACATAAGTTTTTAATTTTATATTTAATTCGTTTAGGGTAAACACGTATTTTCACACAATAATATGTGCGATTTTTGGAATTAGAGAATAATCTCAGTCTGCTAGGTTTTGGAACAAATTACTATATATTTTTTTTTGCTATTTTAGGGTATTTCTCTATTATCAATATTATGGTAATAAAGATGCTTATTTCTCATTTTAATATAGAAAATTTTAGAAAAGTTTGTTGAAGTTGATTATTATTATCTCAGTAACTGATTTATTTGCACGTTTGATTGTGTGAAAACTCCTATCTATCCTCAGATAATATTGTGTAGTGAGTGTGTGAGACTGACAGAAACTCGTTTTGGAAACGTATTACAGGTCTGTGTCTCGACGACAAACAGAAACTTCCCCGGTCGGATGGGACACAAAGAAGGGCAGATTTACTTAGCTTCTCCTTACACAGCTGCAGCCTCGGCTCTAACTGGTCATGTCACCGACCCAAGAGAGTTCTTGCAGTAGGCTATATAATCAATGGCTGTGTGCAAAAAAAAAAACCAAAAAAAAAATCCAAATGCTGCATCAAGAGAACATTGTTTAATGATGAGCATTGAGAAACTATATGTATGTATTTTCCTTGTTTCGCTGTTGAACTTAATAGCTTCAAGTACTATCTTAAACTTTGAGTTTGAAAGAATAACGAGAGAGAACAGAGTTAGAGAAGTCAACGGTCATATTCTAATAATAACACCAGTAGTGATTAATTTCATTGCAAAGTTACTTAAGACTCCTCAAAATATGGCTATCAAAGATAAACCATGCGCATTCTTGTTTTGTGCTTTGTAATTGCAGGGCATGTGTCAAATATAGATTCTAATAGCATTTTTTGACACTTTTTCTAAAATATACTATAATTCAATAATTGATGCCAATAATGGAGGCCATTAAGTCAATGTATTCCCTAGGGATTTAAATACAGAAGATAGTACCGTTGAAACAGTTGTGTAGACTATCGAAAGGGAATATATATATGGTAAGAAGCCATTAAATCAGTAAAGCTGACAAATTGAATAAGTGAGAAATTATATCATTTGGTTTTGTACCGTCACCCTTAATAATGTCAATTAATAACTAACCTTCAATAATACGTATTCTATAACAAGATTAATTAGAGAGGCAACAATATAATTGGCAAGGGCCAATTGACTCGGGGAATGAGACGATGCAGGCGTTTAAAATTTAAGATTAGTTATCTATATATATATATATATATATATTAGCTACTTAGCTATATGCCGCCGTTAACTTTTTCTTACAAAATATGTTTTGTAATTGAAAAAAAAAATGAGTTTACCTGAAATTTGTTGATTGTGGTTATCAACTATTTAGGGTCGGTTCAGTAATTCGAGTTTGGAAGATTGATTTTGTTTTATTTAATTAAGTTTTCAATTTACAGTTTGTTCAGTTCGGAGGTCTTTCGACGAACTGTGTACAATAATGTTGAGGTTTTTTTTCTTTAGGTCCGAAAAGATCCCTTCTACAGTAACAAGCCCTCTATTTATAGTACAGTAGCGAGAAAAAGATTTAGGGCTCCACGGTCGACTCTCACCGCCTCTTATCGCTGGGCCTGTCTCCCTATGGGCCGTGCTATCAGGCCAGTCCCATTTCGGCTAAAACTGTCGTAAACCGGGATCAATTGGGCCGGTTTCGGTCTCTAACTGGTCCGAACCGGATAGCGGAGCGTACCACCAACAGTATGTCCCCCCCAGTTCGGTAAATGGTTCTGACTTACTTTTGCCGAATTGAAGCTGGAGCGGTTAACGACCGAGGTTGGCGAAACCGGATTTCCGACTTACATCCGTGCTCTTTCCTCTGACGTTTCGGCGAGGGTATTAAGGTATTTTCGCTCGTGGGAAACTGAAGAGTCGTGTCGGTTTAGGCGGGAAATCAAGACGTTACGAAGCACGGAACTCGAGAAGTCGCAATGATTCGCTCTTCTTCTATAAATAGGGCTCAGCTCTCCCCATTTCTTACTTTCGCTCCTACTGCCAAGGTATTTGCTCTCCCAGTCATCGTCCGCCGTGCTCTCTCGTCGACGGTTATTTTTCGAGCTACTCCGACAATGTCTTCCGAGTCCTCCTCCAACTCTGAGGCCGCCATTCTCCCCGAACATTGTAGGGAAGAAACTTCGACTGATGTTTCGAGTTCGAGATCTACCGAATATTCTTCGAACGCATCGCTGGTTCGAAAGAATTCCCGAGTCGTCGAGGTCGGCTCTAGTAGTCGTATTCCGATTCGGGCTCCGGAGCTGATGGATCAGAATCTTCGCGAACCCGAAGGTCAAGTCCCTGCTGACCAGAACCTGGGCCAGGAGCCGGGCGTGAAGACGGATGAAGACGCTCTTTTGCGGGAGGTCGGCGAGGAAGAGGCGCGAGATCCAAACGATGACGACATGATGCCAATCCTGGAGCGGCCATCTATGTGCGCCCCCGTGAAGTCTACGCTTTCGTCGCTAGAAACGGTCCGGTCAGCTATGTAGATCTGCAGGACTCCTCCTGGTGTCATAATTCAGGTCCCCGAGCCGGAAGAACGTCCTTGGGATGTTCATGAGGACTTCATCTGCGTCTACGAGGCATACTTCCGCGAGACCGGTCTGACTTTCCCTTTGCCTCGTCTGCTTTTTGCATACTGCAATCGTCGCGGTTGCGCGGTATCCCAGCTGCAACCAGCTTCAATAGTAAACTTTGTCGGAATCCTCCAGCTCGGGCGTGATATCCGTGCTCGCATCAACGTCGCCCAGTTCGAGGAACTTTTTATCATGAAGGTTTCTCAGGCTAAAAGTTGGTTTCTATCGGTGAATTGCAACCCGAAGTTCGACCTGGTCACCGGAAACAAGGCGAGCAAATTTTCGAACTGGGACAAGAGTTACTTCTTCGTTCGCGTCGACTCGCAGTCTGCTGAGAATCCGGAGAGCACGTTCCGGACTGGCTGGAGTGTTGATTTTGGTACATATCTCACGGTTAACTCCCCTATTTCTTGGTCGGTACTGACATTTCTTCGTTTATGCAGATCGCCACGTTCCAGGATTCATTCAGCGCTCCCTTACGACCGACCTAGCGAAGCAGCTGAGCCTTGCCAGACAGCGTCGTTTGCCCCGAGCTTACCAGGAAAAGATCGATCGGTGGATAAAGAGAGCTCAGGACAGAGGTATGAGTTCCTGACTCGATTCTCTCTAGACATTTATTTAAATCATGGTTGACTTATTTTATTTTACTTGTAGCTAAAACTAAGGCCGAAGCTAGTTCGTCGAGACCGGAACCAAAGAAGAAGAACCCGAGGAAAAGCATCAAGAAGAATCGAAGGAAGATGGCTTTCGACAAATCGGACATTCCGATGATGAACTTCGAGGCTGACGATGAGGATGATAATGCCCTAATCGACATCGTCGGCCTCAACGGGAACGAGGTCGGCGATGGTAATGAGGTCGGCGATGGAAATGAGGTCGACAACGTCCCGGCGGATCAAGCTGATCTAGTGATCCCGGTTGAAGATTCTGCACCCGGTGAAGCGGGGACTGGCGTTCCCAAGGTGGTTCCTCAGCCGCAAATGGAGGAAGGCGAGATCGGTGAGCAGGACGAGGACGAGCTCACCATTGCCGACCGCGCCCGGAGGAAGAAGGGAAAGTCCTCGAAGAGGTCTTCTCGGAAGAGGGGCGGCGATCCCGAGACGACCGTAAGCAAGGGGACGGGGATATTGGTGGTTCTTTATGGAGGGGATATTGGTGGTTCGCCCGCTGCTTCTCAGGATCCTCCCGAGTGTCTGGCGGCCGAAACCGGGAACCCGAGGTCATCGAAGAGGCGTCGAGTTTCCGATGCATCATCTTTTTCGGTCCGCCTTAACTACAACAAAGAGCGGTCCTTCTTTGACGATGCTTCCGCCTGCCGAGCTCTTCAAGCAGATAGTTCCAGCTTCGTCTCCAATGCCCGAGACTAAGGATCTCTTCCGTCCTAAGTCTTATGCCCGGGTCGCGAGATCCGCCTCTGCTGTAAGTTTCCTTTTCATACTTGGGCGTTTTAACTTTGATGTGTTTCTGACTTTATCTTGATTTTCAGCTCGTCTGCGACACCAACAAACTCGTCCGGGAGTATGATTCTGAAGTCGAGAGGCTGAGGAAGATCAACGCGGAGATCGCTGCTGAGAGGGCGTCATTGGAGGTGTCGTACCGGGATGAAAAGGAGAGGTACAAAGCTTCCGTGCTGGCCTTCACCGAGAAGGAGAAGGAGAACGTCGCTCTGAAAGAGAAGGTCGGGGCTCTGGAGGCGCGGACTGCCGAGCTGGAGGGTGATATGGATGCTCTGTCCAAATCATTCAAAACGAGCGAGCTCGAGAGGCAGAAGTTCCGGGACGCCGAATCAAAGGGCCGGAAGATGATGCAAGCACTGAGGGGCAAGTGCGAGGGGAAGCTGGCCAAGATGAAGGACTTCATGGACAAGTCTGAGCTCAGAAAGGCGCCGTTCCTCAAGCTCAATCAAGCGACTGCTTTGGTCGGCTTCTGCGACTTCCTCAGGCGGGAACACAACATGATTGTCCCGTCTCACATCATGGAGACGTATCAGCGCAGGATCAGGAACTGCACGAAGGAGGTCGATGACGTCCCTCTCCCGCAGCTCGGGAATGAAGACTTCATTCTTCCGAGCGATGCCGACCTCATCCCAAGGATCGTGCTTCCGCCGAGGACACATGTTCCGGAGGGCTTGGACCAGTTTGGTTCAAACTCCAAATCCATCTCGGCAGACCGGGCAGCGAGTTTGAAGAGTCTGGCGTCCGTTGCTCGTCAGTAGTTTCCTTAGTTGTTTTTATCATGGTATTTTTGGTTGTATAGCTATCTTACCCGCGCAGTTCGGGTTTAACTTTATCGTTTTTGGTCGCCGGTTTTTGGCGTTATATTGTTGTCGTCTAGCTCGGCGATTTTTGGATATTTAATGAAATGAACGCGGCTGCTTATTCCGCAGTTTTTTACTTAGAATTTTCTTTCCTCGTATTTTATTTGCGAACTGTTGGGAGTTCGGCTCGTTTTCATTAAATTGGAGAGTTCGTGATGTTATTGTGACGATGCAGACAAACTCGGGGGACTTTTCCGGATTTGAATCATGGTTGACGGATTGCTATTCGGAAGAGTGAGTGCGGATTTGGTTCTGGCTTTGAATGATGGGGCATCATGGGATGCGGGCGAGAGTGATCTCGGCTTTTGAGATTGTATTCGTGGAAATACTTGAATCGATCTCCTGGCCGGGGAGTCGATGTGTGGAGTTAGTGAAAAAGATGGGTTTTTATTGGATTTGTAGCTGGACTCGAAATTGAGCTGCCTACGTACCTTTTTGCAAGGGATCAAGCCATTCATAGTTCAGTTTACAGGGGTGAGTTCGGCCGGAGCCGAACTGGTTTATTTTTTTTTATTTTTATTTTATTTTTTTTTTGTGCGCTGGTGGCGCTAACTGGTCCGAGCTCGCGGTGGCTGGGACTTAATAGTAGTATCGTTTGAGGTTGGCCGAGTTCCATGATCGTGGGATCGGCGTTCCGTCGAGCTGCATGAGTTCGTATACTCCGGGCTTGACGATTCTCATTATCTGATATGAGCCTTCCCAGTTCGTGTCCAGCTTGCCTGCGTTTAGTTCCTCGGTGTTGTGGAATACTTTGCATAGAACGAGGTCGCCTTCGTCGAAGTGCCGACCTCGCACTTTCTTGTTGTAGTACCAAGCAGCGAGGTTTTGATAGTTCTGGATTCGGAGGAGAGCTAAGCATCGCTGTTCTTCCAAGTTATCAAGGTTGTTGATCATCATCTGGTCATTGAGATCGGGGTTCTCGGGAAGCACGGAGTTTCTTAAGGTTGGGATGCTCACTTCGGCTGGACAGAGGGCTTCGAGTCCGTATGCCAAAGAGAAGGGAGATTGTCCCGTCGATCGCCGTGGAGTAGTTCGATGCGACCATAAGACTCCGTCGAGCTCGTCCGCCCAGGTGCCTTTCTTAGCCTCGAGACGCTTCTTTATACCGTACAGAATGGTCTTGTTGGTTGCCTCGGTCTGACTGTTGCCTTGCGAATAGCGTGGGGTCGAGAAACTAAGACAAATTTTGAATTTTGCGCACCAATCGTTGAACGTTCCTGCAATAAATTGTGGTCCGTTGTCTGTGATGATCATGCGGGACCCCGTGTCGGCAAATGTTATACTTCCAAACGAATTTTTGAACGTCAAGTGTGGTGATCTCGGAATACGCTTCGGCCTCGACCCATTTTGTGAAGTAATCCGTCATGACCAGGATATACTGCTTTTGATTTGTTGATCGGCATAAAGGTCCTACGATGTCCATGGCCCATCGCATAAAGGAATTGGGCACCGTACTGGTTAGCAGCAGCTCGATAGGCACATTGATCATTGGGCCGTGCCGCTGGCACTTGTCGCACTTCGTGACGAACTTCTCGCAGTCTGCGTTCATTGTTGGCCAGAAGTAACTGGCTTTTTTAATTTTTAGGGCGAGGGGCCATCCTCCGGAATGATTACCGCCGGATCCTTCGTGGATTTCTCTCATGATTTCGACTGTATCATTTCCGGTGACGTTGCCGTTGAGAAGGTACTCTCGCAGCCCATTTATCTTCAGGGACTTTGCCGTTGAGAAGGTACTCTCGCAGTTCGGCTGTCCAATCTTCGGCGAGCTCGTTTCCCTGATTCTCACTGGTCGATGGGCTATGGATTCCTTTGGTTATGTACTCGAACTCGTGGTCGGCAGCTAGATCTTCGGGAACCTGCTCGGCAGCCTCGCTCGTTTGTGTTGGATTCTTGCGTTGCGTGTTCGGCGAGATCGGGTTCGGATTTTCATCGTAGTTTTGTCGCCGAGTGGTAACGTTGCATTCTTGTGCGGTTTTGATGCTTGGTTCTGAGATGCTCTCGATCGGGATTTTTTGCTTCATATGCGGGTCGGAACTGGAGGCTAGGGCGGCTAACGCGTCTGCAGACGAGTTCTCGCCGCGAGGGATTTTTGTGAGTTCGAACGTCTCAAACTTCGAGATGAATGCTTTAGTTGTTTTCAGGTATGCATCCATTCGTTCGTTTTTGGTCGTGTACTCGCCACTTAACTGACTTGCGACGAGCTGCGAATCACAAAAGGCGTGAAGATGTCGTACGCCGAGCTCTAGGGCTAATTGCAGTCCGGAGAGTAAAGCTTCGTATTCGGACTCATTGTTGGATGCTGGAAACTCAAGGCGGAATGATTGTTCGAGGATTTCGCCGTTCGGTGACTTTAGGCGAATTCCGACACCCGATCCCCGGTGTGATGACGATCCATCAACATGCAATGTCCGACAACGAATTCTTTAGGGAGCTCGATCAGAAAATCGGCAAGCACTTGAGATTTCGCACTGGTTCGGTTATTGTATTCAATGTCGTACTCGCTTAGTTCGATGGCCCATTTCGCGAGGCGGCCTGATTTGCTTGGATTGTGCAGAATGGTTCGGAGCGGCTGATCGGTCAAGACCGGGATCGAATGAGATTGGAAGTATGGCCGAAGTTTCTGGGCGAAAATTACTACTGCAAGCGACAATTTTTCTAGGGTCGGATATCTGACCTCGGCGTCACTTAGCGATTTGCTGACGTAGAATATTGGACGCTGTTCTCCCCCGTCTTCCCGTAATAGAACGCTGCTAACCGCCGAGGTGGAAATTGCGATGTAGAGGAACAGCATTTCGCCATTCTCGGGCTTGGCTAGGATAGGGGGAGTCGATAGATACGTTTTCAGCTGCTTAAGGCATCTTCGCACTCTGCGCTCCAAGTATGATGCTTGTTACCTCGTAGTAACTGGTATAACGGCAAGCACTTATCGGTCGACCTGGAAATAAATCTGTTTAGAGCGGCGATCCGGCCTGTGAGTTTTTGCACTTCCCTTTTTGAAGTCGGGGAAGGTAGTTCCAATACTGCAGATATCTGCTTTGGGTTAGCCTCGATGCCGCGCTCGGTGACGATGTAGCCGAGGAACTCGCCTGCTGTTACGCCGAAGGTGCACTTGGCGGGATTGAGTTTCATCCCGTACTCGTTCAGAATGTCGAAACATGTTGATAGGTGCGCTATGTGGTCTTTGGCGTACAGAGATTTGACTAGCATATCGTCAATGTATACCTCCATCGTTTTTCCGAGCTGACTAGAGAACATGCGGTTCACAAGTCTTTGGTACGTGGCCCCCGCGTTCTTGAGGCCGAAGGGCATGACCTTATAGCAGTAGATTCCTCGATCTGTGATGAACGAAGTTTTTTCCCGATCATCCGGATGCATTAGTATTTGGTTGTACCCTGAGAAAGCATCCATGAAAGATAACAGTTCGTTGCCGGCAGTCGCTTCTACCAGTCGATCAATGTCGATTGTGGTTATCAACTATTTAGGGTCGGTTCGGTAATTCGAGTTCGGAAGATTGATTTTATTTTATTTAATTAAGTTTTTAATTTACAGTTCGTTCAGTTCAGAGGTCTCTCAACGAACTGTGTACAATAATGTTGAGGTCTCTTTTCTCCGGATCCGAAAAGATCCCTTCTACAATAACAAGCCCTCTATTTATAGTACAGTAGCGAGAAGAAGATTTAGGGCTCCCCGGTCGACTCTCACCGCCTCTTATCGCTGGGCCTGTCTCCCTATGAGCCGTGCTGTCAGGCCAAGCCCATTTCGGCTAAGACTGTCGTAAACCGGGATCAATTGGGCCGGTCTCGGTCTCTAACCGGACCGAACCGGGTAGCGGAGCGTACCACCAACAAAATTTAGATTACGCTTAGTTAATGAATATATAGAGCTGTTAGACCGCACTAACATGACTATTTAACCTGTTTTATAAAAAAAAAATATTATTAAAGCTAATTAATCCACAAAAATATGGCTGGCAAATTTTTTTTTACAAAATATGTTATGTAATTGAAAAAAAAATTTACCTGAAATTTAGATTACGCTTAGTTAATAAATATATATAGAGCTGTCAGACCGCACTAACATGTCTATTTAACCTGTTTTACAATAAAACTAGGTGTTTAGTCCGTGCCTTGCGTGGGTGAAAATATTTCATAACTTAAATAAAACTTTATAACATAGTTTGAAAAGAATTAGAACAACTATTTGAAACAAACAAAAATAGAGCTAACCCAAAAAATTAAATTTTGTCCAAAATTAGACTTTTAAAAAGATATTATATAAGTACATAAAACCCACAAACTAACTAAAATAAGACAAATTCGAATTATTCTTTTTCTTTTTTTTTACACATCCTCTTTCTCTTTTCTACATACTGTATTTCTTTCTTCTTCCTCTTATACATTTTCGATCTTCTTCTTCATCATATTTTTCTTCAACTTTTTTTCTTTACCATCTTCATCTTCTTAGACTTCTTATTTATTATATATTATTTGTCTTTTTAATCATCTTTATCTTTTTTCTACTTTGTTTTCTTTATCTTCTAGTTTTTTTTCTTCCATTTTATCTACTATGTAATGGTTTTCTACTCTGACATCTCTTTCTCATTACTTTTTTCTTCTCCAAATTCGTCATTTTTGTTTTCGTTCACTCTGATTTATCCGACTATATTTTTATCCGACTTGTTCACCGTATTCCTCTATGTTCATTTTGTGATCTTTTAATCAATTTTGTGTTCTTCTCCCCTATATTTATCATTTAGCTTTTCATATTTTTTGTCTTCTTTCATTTTATCCTCCATCATTTTCGACTCCTACTTCTTCTTCTTCTTCTTTATTGTATATGTTTTCTTTGACTTCTTGATTTTTTTTTCATTCATTTTTTCTTCATTTTCATTTTATTTA